CTTAGTATGGCTGCCAAGAGAATCTGTTCCGTAAGATAAGTCCATTTATGTTTGCCCATAAAAATCACAAGTATTACATTATTATTTTTAGGTTAGTGAAGTAAAATTTGTAAACCTAACATATGATGATGAAAAAAAATAATTTCCATTTTAACTAAGTGAAAGATTATGACATATTACAAGAAGTAAAATGAGAGCTCTTAAAAAGAACATTTCTATAATTTTCACCTGAGAGTTTTCAGAGAGGAAAGTTGGAAGTTTTCTGAGTTTTTCCCTTTGATTTTGATAAGCTTTTGAGAATTAGTACCTTGAAACAATAGAAGCCTTACAATGAGCCAATATTTGAACTAAAAATGAAAAGTGAGCTGACCAGTCACTATTTTAATCAGTCCTAGAAAAAACAAAGAAAAAATAATAAAGAAGATTGATTCCAAAAAAAAAGACATTGACTAGAGATAAGGAAACAACAATTTGAAGCATTCTATTCTCCACATGTTGCTCTGTTTATGTGTTTCTACTTTCTGACTGCGCTATTTTTTTAATATGGACCTGAGTTTTTGATGATTATTCTGTCAAAATTAGGATCCTAATCCAATGCACACTGCATCCCCATACCAGGTATCTCTATTCCTCTAAACAATAGAGCCTCACTCCTCCCTCCCAAAGATGGTCAGTGACCAAAATCTTACTCAAACCCTGCACCCTCACAACATCTTTCCATTCTGGAAGTCTCCCCAGCTGTTGTATATGGTGTCCTTGACTTTAACCTTTGGTCTTCATATAGCATAAATTAAGATTTTAACTAGATATATGGGCTGGATTCTTGAAGCTGTAGAAATAATCATGAGAGATTATGTAGGCTGTACTTTTGCATAAATTGCTTTCAATAACGCTAAATGCAGAGAGATTTGTGAGACAGCAAGAATGAGATTGCTCAGAAATATTCAGTAAATTGGCAATTTCCTAAATCTTCTTTCCCCCTTATATCACAAGTAGCACAACAGGTATATCCGTTAGCCTTATTTACAATTTCTTATATTCTAAAGGGAAGAATAACTAGGATTTCTGCTCTGAACTTTTCCTATTGCCATGATATATACACAGAAGTTACTTCTACATAGGCTCTAAGATCATTATTAAGAATGTGATTTCTAAAACTTGAATGAATTATGCATCATTTATCACTTGGCAGATTAGTCTTCTGCTGGTGAGATCAGCAGCTTCAGTTTTGATTGTTTAAGGTAGTTGTTTGTATTCCACAGGAGATATTATCATCCATGTATGAATTAATTATCTTAGCTGTATTACATTAATCTTTATTTACTTACTGCATGCTGTTATTAAGTTTTTAATTAAGACACATTTTATCTTCTTCTTGTAAAGGTATAATTTCTCTTGATTATGTTCGCAGAAATCTCTCGATTCCCAGTTCATACCTGGTATATTGACAATGTCACCTGCTTTGCCTTGCCCCCTGGACCAGTAGCCCCAGCCACATCCACTTATCCATCTAATTCACATCTCACCTGCCTACTTTTATGCTCCTTATCTTTAACTGTCACAGCAGAGCTCCACCACCCTCAGCAGGATACACAGTTACTCCTGCAGCACAAGAACTACAGGAGCAAAGAGGGAAATGCAACTGGCCAGGTTATCACTCTTGCTCTAGCTGTAGCAACTCTTTCATCTGTACAGGCTCTTATAGGATCATTCTTGTGGATTTCTCTAGGGTTCCCAAAAGAGATTTCAAATGGAAGGAGCCAGGAACAACTGACAGTTTTCCTGAGTTGGTGTTACACCTCTTCTAGTTCTCTAGCCCAAGATGATGTTGGAACATGTGCCTATGCATTTTCTTCTATTGGTCAGGGGAAGTCTTGCCATCTTGCTGAAATTCTCCACAAGCTTGCATTTCTTAACAGCTGGATTGGAAGATCTGATGGAAGGCACCATGACACATTTACCTGGAATTCTTTTGTTTGGAGATGAGAATAGAAAGGCACAGCTAGTTCTTGTCTCACATCTTCCTACACTCTCAAACCATTGGGGCATCAAGTGCCCAGGTTCAAGAGTTGGGAACATCTTCTCATTCTTTTTGATAAAGCCGCAGTCTAAGCCATTTTTGTCCAGAGGAAGAACTGTTGGAAGAGAAATTGAAGTGAACATTAAAAGAAAATTAAAACATTTTTATTATGAGGTACAAATTGTTATATTCTTTCCAGTCACCAGTGTGTATAGAAACATGCCTGATAGAGCTTAGATTCAAGCTATAAATGAAACTGTTATTATTTGATATACAAATCTGAAGAAAAATTATAATCATGTCTTCTAAATTTGTAATATTATCTCTGTAGGAGCTGGCCATATTTATGGCTTAGACAATAGGCAACATTTTACTACTACACATTAACATTTATTTAGGGCAGTGTAATGTAATTTAAGTTGATGAGTTCTTGTCATCTTTATAAATTATTGCTTTAGATGTCTGAGAATTCTAGAAAAAGAAGATTAATGGAAGCCTCAGAAATAAAGAGCATATAATCCAATTTGTTGGTTGTTTGGGGTTTTTTAAGTTATGCAAATCACAGAGACCATCCATTCCCTTCTGGGTTTGACAGGTTTAAAACTGATAATTCTGTGATGTTCCTCACTCCTTTATATGTATGGAAATACATGCAGTTCCAAAACATTCTTTTTTTCTTTTTGTTTCCCCCCTTTGTAATTTATATGATGAGTTTATGATCACATATCTGTGAAGAGTAATAGTAAAATATTATGTTGTGGGAGAAATTTATGCAAATTCTGTGTGTGTTTAAACTACAGTATAACATGGGAAAGTATAATAGTGATATTTTCCCCCTTTTAAAATCTATACCACTTAGCACAATGTACATGCTTAAGTTTTTACAACTTTTAGTGTTCTATGACAGTATTACAGAAAATGATTCTTCTCTGTATTTCACCAACCTCTCCACCACCTTTCAACAGACACATCCACCCATCTGATATGTGAGGGGAATTATATTTACTTTGGTAGTTAAAGCAAATATATCTCCTTCAAACTCCTCCTGTCCTGGCCATCCTGTTCAGAAGATGGGGAACATCCGGGGAGCACATACAGGCTGTTGACTGACATGTGCCTGCAGCCCTTCTGGAAATGCTGCCCTTCACTTGTTGTCTGTTAATCCTTAATAAGGCAGGAACAGCTAAGGTGGGGATCATGACCTCTACCCATAACTGAATGTTGGAGGCGAGATTCCAAATGAAATAAATTAATAAAATTGTAATCTAATTAAGCTCCATCTCTTCCATACTTCGTATCTTCTTTTATGTCTGGGCAATGCAGTGCAACTAACTATGTAATTTTCAGCATGTGCAAGGAAATGTTTTATATCTGCTTGTTTGCAGTAGAGTCACACTATATACTAATTAAATGCTAATCCTTAGATAGCATGTCTTGAAAGGTGTCTGTGAAGTTACCTGTAGCAAATGACCAAAATGAGTTATATGCTTCGCTCGCTAAATGGTTAGCATCTTTTCAAGGGGTGGTGATTTTAATTTTTTTAAATAATGGCTAAGGATGAACAAAGCACATCATGATTTTTTCAAGGCTATCTGTCATTTCCAGTGCTCGGGGATGTTTAAAGCACAAAACACTACTGATTGTCAGGTAACAAATTTGTTCATATATTTTTATTGAAACGTGAGATGGCAACATTGAAATGCAGCCAGCAAACAGGAGAAATAATTCTGAGTATACTCCCTGGCACTTTTTTAATGTCATATGGGCTTATATACATTGTTGAAAGAAAGATCTTGTGTACAGTGTATTTTCAGCATAAACAATGTGCTTTTAAAAACTTGGATACAATGAAATTGATATATTGAACTGATAAAAGCCTGTGTTTAGAGATAAAAAAAGAAACAAAAAATATATAGATATTAAAAAGATAGTGTATAAACTTTTGGTTCATTTCTCAATAATCTTCAAGTGAATGGATTATTTTCAAAGTGAATATATTGTTAATCTGGTAGATAATCTAGATATTTATCCTTGTGTTCACTGATTCAATAGGAACTTGACTGTAGATTTCAGCAGGGTAGATTTCATGTTCTCTTATAAATGCAGATTTTGAGCCTTTGAAATCATCTGAATTCTTATAGAATTCTTATAGAGGATATGAGATTTCATGTTGGTTACCTGCTTGAAAGATAAGTTTCCTGAACTTTATTTTTAAACTTGTCCACTTAGTACTATCACCCATTAATGTAAAAGGTTGTTTGGGTTTGTACATAGATGATTAATGTGGGCAATTTCCGAAGAATAAAAATTTCATAACGTATTGATTTGTTTTGTACTCCTTCTGAAGTAAAGAAAAACAACAAAACCTTGTAGGAAATAGCAGGCAGTACATAGTTCTCAATGTGAAGCATAATTCACTAGCATATACAGAAAAATAGACTCAGAATAAGCACTTTTCGATGTGGAGACAGATTGCCATATCGCCTGGCAAGCATTCAGCGTTTTTTTCCTGACATGTTTAAATAATGCTTATCAAACAATAGATAGGAATAGAAATCAAGGCAGTCTTAAATTTATCTAAAACAGGATGCTGTTGTAGAAGTGTCCTGTAAATAACAATAAATAGCTGTTGAGTGAAAGTCAATAAGATGGAAAGAGACTTTTGCTAGTGAATTGTAGAAATACATATATCTGTATTTCTTTTTCTTGTAGTGAAATGTTCTGTCCTCTTTCCCAGCCTGGAACTTAACATACTGTTCTTATACCTGGCACAATATACTATGATTAGAGGCAAAAACAGATGGCCATATTTTTCTTTGACTTGTTTATTTAGGTGTGGGAAGACGAGTTGTAACTTTACCTATTAATCAGACTGTAGTTATTTATGTTCTCCTGTGAATTTTTGCATGCAAATACTCATGCATGTACCTGAACATAGACACAACCAGAAATAAACTGACTCTTTCTCTTTCTCCCCTAGGCTTAGAAAGAATTGCAAGAGATTCAGCCTATGAGCAAGAAGGAAAAGTTCAGTTTGTAATTGACGCAGTATATTCCATGGCCTATGCACTACACAACATGCATAAAGATCTCTGTCCTGGATATATTGGTCTGTGCCCGAGGATGAATACAATTGATGGTAAAGAACTACTTGGCTATATCCGAGCAGTAAACTTTAATGGTAAGTTATACATACTATTTTTTTCCCCACCTTTTTCTTCTTTAAATATTTCAGAAGTGACAAGATGTGTTTTCTTCTTTATATAGGATTCTTTAAGGCACAGTGGAAAACAAGATTAGAAGCAGTTCTCATTTAATCAGAACTGTGAGTTTTTCCACCTGCTTTGAAACCCCAAGTGTATTTTTTGTCTTAACATTAAGCCGCTCCCAAAAGAAGCAGATGCTAAAATAAGAGTCTGTTGATCAAAATATTCCAGTGAAAAGGTGCTATTATGGAAACAAGTTGAGAATTCATGTAGTCCTACTGACAGATTAAAATCCTTTGACAGAGGTTGTTTATGTGTTTGCAAGAGAATGAATTGAAAAAAAAATACTTTTGAAAATTGCCTTCTTCTGAAATTACTGTTAACAATTTCCTTACAAAAGCGAATAGTGAGGAGCTTGCTTTCAATTTACATAGTTAAATATCAATTGACATACACACTAGAGGTTCTGGTTTCTTTTCCATTTTTTTGTTTTTGACTCAGTGATTTAGTGAGCTTTAGTATAACTACAATATATATTTTTAAACAACACTACGTAATATTCTGTGCAGCTGGGATCTGCCCACTGGGGAAATGTTGTTATGGATGTTACGCTGTTAACAGTAGAGGCCAATAAAGAAGAGGATTAATTTGTGAATGTAGACTTGAAAAGGGTAGAATATACTTAATGGTAAAATAAAGTGGCTGAAAACTTACATTATGTCATTAAAGTCATAATTATACTAGGCTATATTTACTATTATTTTACAAAGAACTGGAACAACGCTCTTTGCTGTATATTAGTTGTTGGGTTTTTGTTGGGTTTTTTCCCCTACTTCGTGGTAATTCACATACCCTCTAACTTTGCAGAGAGAAGCACTGTGTATCACAATTTATTGCAATGACCTCAGCCGCCAGCCTTTTTGAAAAAAAATCACAAGGTCATTTTGAATTTAGCTTCTAAACAGAAGCTTTTTTGCTTTAGGTAATGTACCAGACCATTGGTTGATATGGATGTCGGCTGTAGTTCGCAGTTTTTTCTTCCTATGCAATTTTCATGAAAGGGGAATCCATGTCATCAGGAATATAAAGACAGAAGGAGTTTTAATGATTCTGTAGTGATTTTAAAGGAAATCTGGAGCAAAATACATTGCTGCCAAATGGAAAATGTTGTGATGACAAAGGTAGGCAGCACATTGCAGGGTTTGCAGTGATAATTATCAGCATTTCTAGTAGATATTCTTCTGCGTCTGTGTTAAACAACAAAGAAAGTGATCTATTTTCATTTGGTGAACATGAAAGTTTGGCATAAAAGATAAGCTGTACATTTTTTATGAAACGTTTCTCTCCGAGATTGTTGTATTTCATCAATACCTGTCGTGATTTCTCTGGCTGACTCTAAGTGTTGCAATAAGGGGAGATGAAAGAGTGGGATAAAACATTCTGGACACTAATGAAAAAGTATCTGTTCTTGAACTAATGATTTACTGAAAAAAAGAAAAAAAAAGCAACATTTCTTTGAGGCTAATTCCTGTCCCATGGCATACCTTAACTGTTCCCTCTACTAGGCTAGTCTATGTACATAGGCTAGACTATATACTGGTATACCAATTTTTGGTGTGTAATATATGCCCAAATATTTCCTTTCTTTTAGTCATGCGCTGGGAAGAATAAGTCTTTACATTTTGGCATTTCCTGTTAATCCAAAATTCCTGTTCATCTAGACAGCAGTGCCACTGTGTCTGACTTGGTTTACAGAGGTGAATATTTACACAGATTGCTGGACCTCCTGTGCTGGGAGTTGACGGCAGTGCTGTGAGTCGATTTCGATGTGCATCCATTGTGGTATATCAGTGAACTCCAACTTCCTGCTCAGATCAGGATTGGCCAAATCAGGTTATGTAGGACCATGGCACACAGATTTTAACAATATACAAATATGGAAAATCCTCCAAAATTCTGCCTGAGCAATCGGTTTCAATATTGGATTATCTTCACAGTAAGAATCTTTTTTTCTTATACTTAAGTAACTTTTCCTATGGTTTAGAATTAAGCTCAGAATGATAAAAAATTCTAATATCAAAAAGTAACTGGCATTTTTGAGACAGGCAGTTTTTCCCTTTTATTTCAGTATTAGTTTCCCCACATGTTTCTACCCTTATGAATATTAAAGTGACTTCTTACCCCTCTTAATTCAGTATATCCTTCTTAAAGTAGTAATGAGTGGGTGCAAGTCCAATTAATATGTTGTCACATTCAACTTAGTGGGCTTTACCTCACTAAGTGTGACCTGTATTAGGAAGGACATCTGTCTGCTTAGAGAGGGTATTTGCAAGGGTAAGAAAATACACATATTTCTGTTTATTGGAGTAACTATTTTCCTTTCAATTTCAAGTAATTGCTTTGAAATGATTTTTGTTTATTCTGCTTATTTTTATTTACAAATTAGGAATAAGATATGTTACCCTGAAGGGTTCATCTGTGTAATATTCCATGACACCTTCATGACTGAAGGGTGACCATAACCACTAGTACACAATGTACTGATGCAATTGATACGACATTTGTTTCTGCTTAGATATTCTGCCAGTTGTATACTAAATGCAGAAAATCTCACAGTTCAACATGATTTTAAAGGGAATAGAACTTCTTCATTTGTAATAGAAATAAATTTCTTTGTACATGAGATGAATTACTGCTGATTAAGGTCCCTTGTTTCAACATTGCCTATGTTTTTCTTAGAACAGCTAGCAACACATGGTGTCCAGAAATAATTACTTTTCATTTATAATGAGCAGTTTAATATTTAATTTAATTTCATAGCAAAAGAAACCTCTAACATGTAACTGGTACAGCCTGTTGCTGTGTACATCAGAAGAGTTCTTGATGGCCACTGCTAGTAAACCACAATTAGCCATTTGTTTCTCCCAGACAAAAAGTGAATTTTGTCACTTCATGGTGTTGTTATTTTAATAAAGTTGCCACATTTGAAAGATTTTCCCTTCCAGTTTTTGTATCCAAACTGTGAGGAGCGCACTCATTCTCAGAAAAATCCACACGCGTAATTAAATTGGATTTATTTAAGAAATGAAAGCTCTTCCAAGTTTATAAGCTCTGATATCAGTTGAGAAGAGCAGCTACTACACTACACCCAACCCTTAACAAAAGAATAGTGATCCGGATCACAAATACACTCACCTGTACAAAGATGAGGACTCAACTTCGAGGAGACACCTTGGCTGGCATCCCAAACCAAGGGGGAGGCTGGGCCCAACTGCAATACCTACTGCTCCAAAGACATGACTCCAACACATGCCTGGCAGGACCCCATTTTAAAGCTCAGTTGAATCTGAGCTGAGGTCAATCAAAGCCATCTCGGCCTCCCATTGGCTGCTGGCCAACTTCCTGGGTGTACCACTAGGCTGTTGGACTAGATCCAAACTAGCCAGAAACTTCCAGCAGTTTCTCTGAAATCTGCCTGGCAACTGCTGTAAGGGGACACATCCCAGACTAGGGGGGATGCACCTGCCACGCAAACAAAATGAGATATTTATGTGAAACTTCTTTCATGTTTAAAGTTATGTAAAGTGAGTAGTTTTTCTGTTAATTAGATTTATAGATGGTGATATGCACAGTATTGTAACTGTGACATGATTCAGTATGCTCTCCCATCACAATGCTCTAGTGTTCTCACTCGATTAAACTTTATTATTCTGTCTACAAAATAAACAGATGTTTTCTAAGAGTTTTTACCCTGGCATGTGCTGAGAGTTTTATGGGAAGTGCACTCCTGAATTTAACATAAGTGCTCATCATTTAAAAGAAACAGGACATGAACATACATTTCTGGTGGATGGAGGTGTTACAAAAGTGGTTCTCTAGTGGAGTTTCTTTGTTGTGTTTTTTGGGTTTTTTTTAAGAACAAGATTGCTCTTTGTACTTGTTTCCAGACAAAGTGCTGTATAGTAAAGCAACTATGCTGCTTGCTGGGATTTTTGTTGCAAATCTACAATAACAGTGTGACAGCATTAGTGCAGACTGTGAAGTCTTCATCCTTGGAGATATTCTAAACCTGTCTATATATGGACAACCTGCTACAGCTGAGCCTGCTCTAATCAGAGGTGTAGGACTAGGTGATCACCAGAGGTCCATTCCCACCTCAGCCATGCTGTGATTTTATAGCCCTAGCTGAACTTGAAAGGCAGGTCCTGTTTAACAGATCTGATCTTCTGTGACAGAGTGACCCTCTGGTTGGATGAAAGAAGGGCTGTGGATGTTATCTACCTTGACTTTAATAAGGCATTTGACACTGTTGCCCACAGCATTTTCCTAGAGAAACTGACTGCTCTTGGCTTGGGTGGGTATACGTTTTGTTGGGTAAAAAACTGGTTAGATGGCCAAGTCCAAAGAGTCGTGGTCAATGGAGTTAAATCCAGTTGGTGGCTGGTCACAAGTGGTGTCCCCCAGGGCTCAGCACTGGGCCCAGTCCTGTAACATTTTCACCAATGATCTGGACCAGGGGACGGAATACTCCCTTAGGAAGTTTGCAGATGACACCAAGCTGGGTGGAAGCATCGATCTGCTTGAGGGTGGGGAAGATCTACAGAGGGATCTAGACAGGCTGGATTGATGGGCCAAGGCCAATCGCATGTGTTTCAGTAAGGCCAAATGCCAGGTCCTGCACTTCGGCCACAACGGTCCCCAGTAGCGCTACAGGCTT